TGGCACATCATAGCAACAACAATGCAAGTCACTTAATATTCCAAAGTCCACACAGGTCCTAATGCCAATTTTGGAAGGCCTAATACTTGCATGAAGCTGTGCTGCAATCCCAACGGCACACAGTTCAAGGCCACCAGTTGTTCTGTGGGAGAAGAACGGGCAATATCCTTCTATGGGATTAGCTGTCTCTGAAAATCCACCAGAAAATCAGTATTGGGTTGCTTCTGACTCTATGGTACACAAAGACAACAACAACATTAAAGTAGAAACATTCTGGTTTAGTATGTTGCACTGTCAATGCAAAGGACAATGTTTTGAATCCACAACATTGGATTCAATGCTGCTCCGTGGAAAAAAGAAGGGCAGTCACCTCTTATGCTATTAACTGCCTCTGAATATCCGCTGCAGGGTCAACTATGAGTCAATTCTGACTTGATGGTACACAACAACCACAATGTATGCTTAATATTATGTCTTTCCATACTTCTGAAATGCAAATAACTGTTGTTGCTGATGTTATGTGCTATCTAGTTGCCTGTGACTCACAGTGACCCTATGTAAACAACCCTAAAGGCTACCCTGTATTGAGCCAGTCCCACTGACTCTGATACACCTACCCCCATTGCTCTAGTTACTAATCCACCTCATCCAGGGTCTTCCTCTCCTGTGCTGTCTTTCTACCCTTCCAGTCATGATGTCCTTCTCCAAGGACTAGTCCTTCCTGGCCATGTCCAAAGTATGTGAGACTGAGCTGCAAAATCCTATCCTCTAAAGAGAAACTTGTTTACAACCTCACCAAGACAGACATGTTTGTTTTCTTGATGGTCGATGGTATGTTCAAGAATCTTCTCCAGCACCACCACTCAAAAGTATCAATTCTTCTTCTGTCATCTGTAACAAAGAATATATGTTTTCTTTTCTAAATTAATATTGTTGCACAGACTAACCTGATATGAAGAGGACATTATTCATAGTTAGCATTTATTACATTCAAATGTGACTAGTTCTATGCTTTACTGCAAGAATACTAACATTTATTAAGAAATTATCTTCAAACTCTAATGGAAGTGTAACAAAATATATTGAACCTTGTTTTGTTTTGTTTTGTTTAAGTATGTTGCCTACCAAGCCAAAGGTCGTATAGCTCTGGTGTGTCCACTTGCCGTATAGCGGTAACTTGTGTTTGCTATGAGGCTGAACACTGTGATACTAATGTGTCAAATGCGTTAATGGTTGGTTACCCAATGTGGACAGTGTGGGGTGGAGTCCCCTATTAAAACAAATTTGGAAGCAGGAGTGGCGTCCACTTTCATAATAGCTTGTCTCCTGAAACCCTATGAACCTGGAGAGAGGATGAAAGACACACAAGCATTGAGGACTCTCCTTCATAGGGTCGCTATGAGCCGCCTAAGACTTGATGGCACTTAACAACGACATGTAGACTTCAGGGAGCTCTGGTGGCCTAGGGGCAAGAAGCTGCATGGAAATCCTGAAGGTGAGTGGTTTGAATCTACTAGATGCTCCTCTGGAGAAAGAGGAGCAATCTTCTCCTGTGCCAGTCAGATCCAATTCTTGTACACAACAACAACAACAACAACAACAACAACAACAACAACAAAGTATGTAGAATTTGAAACATATCTCTAAATTTCAGTTAAGGGGACTTTTAAGTCTCCGTATTATGCACTTTTAAAGCACTGGAACTGAAGAAAAAATGTTGCTATTGATCCCATTCTGACTCATAAGTACTTAACAGTGTTGGAGTACAATCTCCCTCCAAAGGATTTTCAATGGCAATAATCAACTAGAAAGCTCTAGTGACATAATATGTAGGGAGTTTTGTTGATTACTCAAAGGCAAAGGCCATACCTCTCTGACTATCCTAAATTCACCAACAGATCTGTGGGAGAAATATGGGAAACAATTTTTAGCCTTGAAAACCCAATGGAGTGTCAGGTATGAGTTGGTTCAAATTAGACTGGCAATGAGTATGTGAATCTTCTGGAAATAGATCATCAGAACTTTACCTAGGCTCCTCTTGAAGAATCCTAACCAATGATTATCAACAGCAAGTGCCTAACTATTTACATCACTTGTTTTTATATGCTGTCTAGTGGTAACTGACTCATAGCTGACACTCTAGCCAGTTTGCAGAGGCAGTAAGATTACCCATCTTTCTGATGGTACAACTCCTCACTACTAAGCAGACAGAGCCAACCTAGATCAGTGTAGGTGTGGCCATACACCTGGATCTGTGAAGAAGTTTCTTTTTTCTTGTAGTTGTTAGGTGCTGTCTAGTTGAGTATGACTCATAGTGATCTTATGAACAACAGATCTGACACTTTTTTTCCTGGGCCATCCTCACAATCTCTAACATACTTAAAGTCCATTGCTGCTGTCATTTTGTCAGTCTGGTTGATGGTCTTCCTCTCCTTCACCCTTATCTTTCCTGGCATGATGCTCTTCTCTAAGGAAAAGCCTCTTCTAATAAATTGGCCGAAGTATGTGAGATGAAGCTTCATAATCCTTCCCTCCAAGGAGTACTCTGACTGCATCTCTACCAAGACATATCAGTTTGTTTTTACAGCAGTCCATGGGATATTCAGTACTATTGTTCAACATCACAGCTCAAATGCATCAATTGTTCTGTCAATTTTACTCACTGTTCGGCTAGCAGCCACAGAGCAAGTAATTGAAAAGACTGTGGTCTAAAACAAATGCACCTTAGTCTTTCCTTACAAGACTTTAATTCAGACCTGGTAAAACTCACATAGACCCAAGTCGTCCAACTGTCACGTTGGACTACTCTATGAAGGAGTAATAAAGGAAAGATAGAGTTTGAGGGATCATAATTCTTGTGTAAGATGGATGATTTATTTGAGATTTTGAAGTTTTGCTCAGCAAAGTACAACATGAAGAAGGACCCATCTCTGAGAATTTTGTCTCTTTTCCCTCATTTGCACTGGAGAAGACCAACCTCAAATGACTTGGTTTCATTCCAGAATCACACAATTGAGGATTTTCGTAAAGGTGAAGAATGCCTGACTATAGAGTTCTTCAGATCATTTGCCTCCCCTTTTGCAAAATAAGTTTATACCCAAGAAATCCATTTACAGACCACTTTTCAACATCTTTTGAGAGATACTGTGCTCAAGTGTCATTACAAAGTTTATATCACCTAGGCACTCCTTTTGAGGAATTCATCAGGGGATAATATTGAATAAAAAGCATTTTGTTATGTGTAGTTGTTTATAAAAAGCATAACGTTTTCTAATAATCCTGTCCTTGAAGTTAATCTGAGCATGTTGTTGTTTGTTGCTATGTGCTGTAGAGTCACCTATGACTCATAGGGACCCTATGTACAATACAAGAAATCCTACTCTATCCTGTGCTAATCTTATTGTCTCTTTCACACCTTCCCATTACCCTAGTCACTGAATCAATTAGTCTCATAGGGTTTTCCTCTCTTGTACTGTCCTTCCACCCTTCCAAGCCTGATGTCCCTCTACAAGGTCTGGTCCCTCCTTGGAACATGTCCAAGTATGTCAGATAAAGCTTCAGAATCCTTGCCTCTAAGGGGTAGCCTGGTCTCACCCTCTCTAGGACAAACTTGTTTGTTCTCCTGGCAGTCTATGGTATATTCAACACTCCAGCACCATAGCTCAAAGACGTCAATTCTCCTTCTATCATCCCTAGTTATTGTCCAGATTTCTGATGCATATTAAGTAATTGTAAAGACTATGGCCTGGATCAGATACACCTCAGTCTCTAGACTGACATCATTGCTCTTCAGGACTTTGGCGAGGTCTTTGACAGTAGACTTTCCCAATGTAATTAGTCTTTTCATTTCCTGGCTGCTGGTAATCTGAGCATAGAAGTTAATTTGTAGTTTATCTCTTTAGAATTAGACTTAGAATCTTGCATTATATTCATAACAATTATTGCCTTCCTTTTATGTGTCATAATGAAAGTACTTGCCAACTAAAAGAAATAGAAAGTAACTGCCCAAAATTATTAAGGTATTATTAAGATATTTTTGTCTTTGTTTTGTATGTTCTAAATGAAAATATAGTACTTAGAAATGGATAAACACAAAGTTGTAACTAATAAATTTTTTTCAAAAGAAAATTAAGTATAAATTTTTCTGACTGTGGTGAAGAATGTTAACTATTTACAACTGTTTCTCTAAACTAGTTAGCTAGAAAGCTAATTACTTAAAAAACTAATTATAAAAGTAAATCAGCAGTTTTTCATTCACTGGTTTAATTTAAAAATTAAAGAGAAAATTTACATGTTACACTTTGCTTAAAGAAATTCTTAACACTATAAAACACTTTCAAATGTCGTAGTAGTTAGAGCAGTAGTACCATACACATTGCCATTGATTTAAAATAATTTTTTAGCTCAAACAAAATAATAATTGTGAATGCTGCCTATTTTTCTAGACAGGAAACAATTTACATTTGATTATCAATAATTAATTATAGAATAGAATTAATATAACCAGTACCTCTGGATATTATCTTCCATATGGTAGTTTGGGAATGATTCTTAGTTCAGAGTAACCAAATATTCAGAATAGATGACTAATTCACCGACCTTAGAGTATTCTGGTAATGTGAGACCCTGAAATAGAAATTACTTTTATATGATAATGTTGTAGTCTCTTCATTGCATTTTTAATTTCTTTGTTTCTTAGAGTGTAAATAGCTGGATTCAAGAGAGGTGTGATGACAGCGTAAAATACAGCAAGAAATTTGTCTACCCAGGTAATACTAATTGGCCACAGATAAATGAAGATACAGGGGCCAAAGAATAAGACCACTACTGTGATGTGGGCAGTGCAGGTGGAGAGAGCCTTGGATGCCCCATCTTTAGAATAAAGGCAGACAGTAAACAATATATAAGAGTAGGAAATCAACAGTAGGATGAAACAGATGGTTGCTAGTATTCCACTGTCAGCATTTATCAATATTTCTAGAATATAGGTGTCCATGCAGGCTAGCTTGATCACCAATGGAATATCACAGAAAAAGCTATCCAATTCCCTAGGTCCACAGAAAGGCAGCTTTATAATAATAGCCAATTGGCTTATTGAATGCATAAAGCCAATGATCCATGATGTTACCACTAGCCCAATGCACATGTGTCTATTCATGATGCTAGAATAATGGAGTGGCTTGCAGATGGCCACATAACGGTCATAGGCCATTGACACAAGCAGCACCATCTCACCACCTCCAAAGAAATGTCCAAAGAAAATCTGACACATACAGCCTCCAAAGGAGATGGTCTTTTTTACTTTGAGAAAATCTGTTATCATTTTAGGAGTGGTAACTGAGGAAAGGCAGAAGTCAATAAAAGAGAGATTGGCTAAGAGGAAGTACATGGGGGAATGGAGGTGAAGGTCAACAATGATTAAGAATACAATGAAGATGTTGCCTAAAATGGTGATCAAATACAGTGAAGAAAATGCCACCAGGAAGAAGACCTGGAGCTCCCATGAATTGCAAAGTCCAAGAATAATAAATTCAGACACTGTAGACTGGTTTACTTCTTCCATTTCTACCGCTCTGTTACAGAGTTATCTGAAGATTGTCCTTAGTTGCTGTGCAGTTGATTTCTGCTCATGACAGCGTATGTGTGACCGAGTTCAATTGCTCCATAGGGTTATCTTGGCTACAAATTTTACAGAAGCAATCACAGTATATCTGCTCCTATGAAACTTAGTTGTTTTTCAACTTGAAGCTTTCATCTGAAAACAAAATTATGGAATTAGATTTTCCAAATGAATGAATAAGAATAAAGAGCATCACCACTCAACCACCAGAGCTCCCTATCTGACACAGGACAAATAAAATAGTAAAGGAGATATGGTTAACAGTGAAAGAATAAATATTAACAGACATTAAAAAAAAAGAATGCCATTAATGAGAAGAAATAGCTTCTCATGATGAAATTCAATGTTTAAGTAACTTGGAAGAATTTACTTCCAAATAAAAATAAAAAATAAAATTTAAAAAACCCAGGGGTGGTTCTTGTTACTGGTTGGTTTGATTTTGTTTTGGGAGAAGGATGTCTGGTGTAGAAAATCTTCAAGTTCAGTATATTTTATAGATTTCTTTAAAAAGTGTTTATAATCTTTTGTAGCAAATTGTGAATTATTGGGTGCCATTGAATGGATTTTGATTCACTAATGACCAAGTAGGACAAAGAGAACAATCCATGGGTTTCCTGTTATGTATTTGTATTCTAGAGTGAAAACTGACTTACAGCAGGTTTTCAGAGGCTGTAAATCACATGGGAGAAAACTGTCCATCTTTTTCCTGTGCAGCAACTGGTAGATTTGAACCATGTAACTTTAGGTTGGCACTGCAACTCATGACCATTAAACCATCAGAGCTCCTTATGGGATTTTCTACACTTCAGTTACTAGAAGTTTTCTCAGGTAAACTTCTAGTTAGGAGCACTGTGCCTAATCATCGCTCACCAAAGCCTAAGGTAACAGAAGACATAATGTGGTGTTAAATTTATGATTCAAAGTAAGTAAATGACTTCATAGAAACTAAATCTGACATTTTTCTATAAACTAAAATCATACAGTCTCCAGTGAATTATGAAGAAGTGTTACATCTATCAAGTTCCTTAAGAAAAGTAATTTTTGCTTTATAAGAAGTCTCTTGAAACCAAAAAATCTGATTATATGTATTCAAAATTAGTGTCTCCAATACGTTCAATGGAAGCTGTTTCCACCCAGTCTTATCTTACTAAAACTGAACTGTACAGATAGTTGAAATACTTGGCTTCTCCTAACAATCACCAAAAAAAGACTTTGAGATAGCAGGCATAGTGACATACATAGATTGACTAGTTTTCACAGATATATTAGAAAATTATATGAACTTCATCTCTAAACATCTTAATATTTTTAGTATTTAAAAATATTTTTTTAAAAAATCTAAAACTCCTCTCATATGGTAAATAGCTTCTCATTCTCTGCCCTCCTTTTTTTTCCTTCTCGTTTTAGGTGCTCTTCCCCCCCCCCCTCTTTCCCACCCTTATTTCTGGATAACAAAGACTTTGACATAGTAATTCAATTCTCTCCACTTTTATTTCCTGAAAATTAATATTCATAGTCTGCTATCAAAGTTAAGGTCCAGTTAGTTGTTGTTGTTGTTGTTTAATGCCGTCCAGTCGTAGACAACTCATAGCGACCCTATGAACAAACAGCCTGAGCACTGTTCCTACATAGTTTCCAGAGGCAAGCCATTTTGGAAGTGGATGCCACTCCTGCTTCCAGGCTTGATTTAGCTGGGAAGCTCCAGCCAACACTGTCCACCATGGGTGCCCATTACCACGATTGGCACATCACTGTCACAGGCTTCAGCATCACAGCAACCACAAGTTACCTCTGTACAGCAACGCACAGACCAGTGCTATACCACCTAGAAGAATGTTTGACAGGAAGACAATTTGAACCTTTGGGCTTAAGGCTGCCTCCTGGTTCAAACCCTAGGCCCAGGCTGGCTAGCCTCACTCCTGGCACAGAGCAAACCTGCAAGTCAAACACATTCCCGGAAAAGCAGTCCACTCCATAGCTTGCCACGATCCCTGCACTCCCCCCCCACCACGCTCCTGCCTTCTGGCAAAGAGAGCTTCCCACGAGCCTGTGAAGGCGCCAGCCAAACCAGGAACAACATGGCTGCTTCCTTCCCAGCTTCCTTCAGCTTAAGGCCGCCTCCTGGTTCAAACCCTAGGCCCAGTTAGTTAGACAGTATTATTTTTTTTTATTTTCACTATGCTCCAGTCCACTTGGGAACACTTTCAGTCACTATTTCTTGCTCATCATAAAATATAATTTTATAAGCGAGAAAACAAAACCAAAAAAATGAGTCAGCAGTTAAATAAATACAACACAAATTAAGTAACACAACATACTCAAATTCACTATCATTGTAGAGCTCTTTTAACTCACGTGACAATCTTTAGGGTTTCCAGTGTTAAAAAGAATTGGCAGCCCTCTCTGAAGCCACTGGTCTGTTTGAATCTTTGGAGACACGAGTCTTTTTGGTATGTAGCACACTGTATTTTGTCTTATGCTATCAGAACTCCTTAACTTACCTTCTGTAATGAGAAGAGAACTCCATAGAGTTAACTGGGAGAGAATGTTAGTATAGACAAGGGCCTGGGTAGACTAAGATGAAATATACTTTCAATTAATTATGAAAAGATAATAAAACTCAAAGAATAAGTGTTCTATAAATTGAAATAATGTAAGAATAAAATGTGAATAACCAGTAACTATATGAAACATATACTATGTACCTATAATAATAATTTTACTTTTCTGCATATTTAAAATTTATGTCTGGCTGAGTTTGGGATACCTTTTTTCTTTATTATATGCAGTTAAATTGATTTTAAAACTTTTGCTATTATTTTTAAAATTCAGTACTATCATATTTCAAAGCTGAAAACAAGAATTGAATTAACATACAAAATTAAGGTAGGCTTTCATTGTCTTTTTTGCTAGTTAAATCAACAAGAATTTACTGGCTCTTTTCTTTGATGTGTTCTAATTATGTCAGGTATAAAAAAAATAGTACCTTAGTAAGGTGAGTCACAGCTTAGAAGTAAAAATCTATACCTGCTTCCTCATAAGTCTGTATTAAATATTGAATTACTACAGATACATTTTAAAGCCAGTTTTATTTCCTGAAAATTAATATTCATAGTCTTCTATCAAAGTTAAGGTCCAGTTGGTAAGACAGTATTATTTTTCCAATTTTCACTATTAAATTTTCACATTAACAGTTAACTAAAGTAGTGTAAAAATTAATTTTAAGCATATTCTAGGTTGGAAATAAAGAAATTTCTAGATTCCAAAAGTTTTTTTTTTAGACCACTTCAGGTCTAAATCATAAGTGAATAAAAAGGATTAAAATTTAGGGAGAAAAAATATGCTATCACTTTACAATTCTTTCTGCTTATGTAAGTTTGATAGTGATAACCCTCTTTTCTGAGTCTAATGATTTGAATGTTCTTGATCTCTGATGTTGAGGTTTTGATTTAGAGAGTTTTTTCCTCTCTAGAAAAATAATTTTTAACAAAAAATTTCTAAAATTTTGTAGCACAGAACTGATTTTTGTTCAACTACCCAAAAGAACTAGTTACTGATATAACTGATTTTTTTCTCTACTATTTTAATATTCTACTATTATTAAATTTCTCTACTATTTTAATATGCATCAGAGAGTTGGACAATGGC